GTTTGCATTCCGGACCTGGTGCCCTGCTTTATCTCTCTCTTTCTCTGACTCTCTCTGTGTGCATATTCTGTAGCAAATTAAATAATTAAAAATTAATTAATTAAATTAATAATTGTTTTAATGAAACGATTTTTCTCATATAACTTGGATGTTAACTTTATTTCAAACTTATTTTCTCCCTTTCTATAGATTACCTTTTCACCATATTTCTTTGTGTAGCTTTTTTTTGTAGCCTTTTAGTTTGATATTCTCCCACTTTTCTATTTTTCTTTTATTGTGTTTTAGTTGTTATATCCAAGAAATAAATGCCAAGAACAAGCTCATAAAGCTTTCCCACTATACTTTCCTCTAAAAATTTTACATTTAGGTCCTACATTTTAATATTTCATTCCTTTTGAGTTAATTTCTGTGAATATTGTAAGATAAGGGTTCAGTTTTATCTTTTTTCATGTGGACACTAGTTTTCCTAACACTTTGGTTAAAAAATTATCCTTTTGCCCATTATGTGTTCTTGACACCTTTGTTCATTACTAAGAGGTTGAATATGTGTAGGTTACCACTGGGCTCCCTATTCTATGCCAATGGTTTATATGTCTGTTTTTAATGTCAGCAGCATGCTGCTTTAATTATTGTAGCTTCGTAATATATTTTGAAATCAGGAAGAGTGGTGGTTTCAGATTTATTTTTCCTGTTTGCTTTGACTATTGACTTTTAAGGCTTTTTTTTTCCATTTTGCAAGAAATGCAAAATGTGGATACATTTGAATAATATGGACATTTTAATGTTATTAAGTCTTTCAATTCATGTACAATATGTTAAACATAATGTTAGCTTCCCAAAAAAGAAAATACTGAATATTATAGCAGGAATTAATGAGATAGAGAACATAAAATCAATAGAAAAAAATTAATGACACTCTAAGTTATTTGTTTTAGTTTTTAGTGAGAGAGAGAGAAAGAAAGAAAAGAGAGGGAGGAATTAAAATAAAAGGTGCTTTTGACATGAAGTCACCATCCTGAGATTCTCCTGCCTCAACTTTCCAGTGAGCTAGGAATATGTAGACTCCTGCCACCACACCATAGCTGTTTAGGTTGGTCCAAGTTCGGAATCCAGGCTTTCCATGTGACTCCAGCATTGTGCAGTGACACCCTACCACTTGCCCTAGCTGAACCATGATTTATCTTTGAAAAGAAACAAAATCGGCCATATCATAGCTAGAATAAGATTAAAAAAAAAGAGAACTAAGAAAACATTAGAAATTAAAAATTAGACATTACAAATGGTGACACAAAAATGAAAAAAAAATCGTTGACTACTATACAAGCTCATATGCCAACAAATGGATAATTGAGGAAAGTGTAAATTTTTTAAAAATATATAACCTATTACGAATGAATTATGAGATATCGGAAAATCAGGAACATATTAGTGGTCCCTAAAAAGTTCTTGGAAAATATGTATATTGAAAATTATGCATGGAATACAAAAGTTACTTGCACAAAAAATGAACTCAAAACTTATAATTCCATTGTTACATGACCTCTTTGGATTTCCCTTGTATATTATTATAGGTACCCTACTTTAAATTAGATCACTAGAACTTGTTCATATCTATGGCTCTGTAACCTCTTACCAAACTCTCTTCAGACCCTAGTCTTTCCAGTCTTTAAGCACACAATTTTTTTAGATCAACTTATTTCAAAATACACAAACTACTGAGAAAACTTAGTTGTGGGAGGCTGTGCACCAGCGAGTCTGTCGAGGCCATTTTTCATGAGTCTCCTACTATTGCCATCTTAGGCTCAGAGAGCAAACAATTACAAAGGCCACAACTGGCTCCCTTTCAAAAACCTCACCTTTGACACCACACTCTGATTGGCCACTTCACATAGCAAATCGGTGAGCTTAGAATCCCTCAGATTTGCATATCCGGGTACCTCATGATTGGTCCACAAAGCTATCCTTCATTCAACCAATCACGGCCCACCAATGTGTATATAAGCATGATCTCTGGCCCATAATCGCCAGACGACCAGGAAGACAACACAGACGACCAGGAAGATGACGCAGATGACCAGGAAGAAGACGACCCTGAGCTGTGACGCTGCGTCGTCTCCAGACGACCCTGAGCTGTGACGCTGCATCGTCTCCAGACAACCCTGAGCTGTGGAGACATTGTGTCGGCTCCATTGTGTCGGGCTCTGATGACCCTGAACACTGTGTCATCTCCGTGCTGCCTACAATAAAGAGACGACCCTGAAAAGACACTGCGTCGTCTTCGTCCTGTGATAGTGCACCATACGTCCCGTCTCTCACTCCTTCCCTCAGGAAACCTGTTCCACTGTCTCGCGGGTCGAGACACTTAGTATTTGTCTTTCTGTGCCTGGCTTATTTAACTTAATACAAACATTCTTGAATGTTCTTATCACAAAGAAATGATAAATATTTGAGATTATGATTCTGCTAATTTCTCAAGTTTGATTGTTAAACACTGTGTACGTGTATGAAAAATCACCCTATACCCCATAAATATATAAAACTACTATGTCCAATTTAAAAATAAAAAATATGTCTGAATAGACCAAAAACTAATAATGAGACTGTATTTATTAATCAAAACTTCTCACCTACAAAAATCTGGGACCAGATGACTTCACTGGAGAATCTTACCCAAAGCTTAAAGAAGCATTAATACCAATACTTTCTAAATTCTACCAGAAACTAAACAGGGAGCACTTGCAGACTCATTTTATGAGACCAGCACTTCATCGATGACAAATCCTGTCAGAATACCACAAGAAAAGAAAACTTACAGGTCCAAACCCCTGATGAACATGGACCTATATTATCTTTTATCTATTGTTCTTTAAGTGTGTTTATTAAGAGATTCACTCATGAGTATCTCCCTTGCTCTTGATTTTTCCTATGTGCCATGTGAAATCGTCCTCAGTGAGATGAGCTTTTCTCAGGACATGTTTACAGTCCTTGAATGCTTGCCTCTTTCTAATTTACAAAGCAGAACCATGCAGTAGCTTCATAGTGCAGTGGTTAAGTACTACGTGTAAGGAACCAGGTCACACATGGTCAACCACAGTTTCAAGCCCTGTTGGCCAGAAAAATATGCTGGTCACATTTGGGTGTGTGCCCCACATCCTACCAAGATAAAGTATTAAAGAAAAGGCATTGTGTCGAGACCACAATCTACTTTGAGAGGTGCTTTCTCTCTTCCTTCTCTCTCTGGAGAGTGCACAAACCCATTGCAATAAAAAAGTCAAGAATGAAATAGTACTGTTTCCTCAGATGCACCAGATGGATGGTACACGACAAATTAAAACAAACCTGAGACCCTGTATTGCTTCATGCAATAATCAGGAATATGTATTAGACCTTGCAATGGTAAGAAATATACTTTTATTACTTCAAGACACTGACTTTTTGCTTGTTTGTTTATCTCTAAAGGCATAAGGGGTTTAGTTACTCAAATTAATGACTATATCATCATTTCTATAAATGACATTTTTCAGAAACTAAAATATTTTTAGTAATGTATAATTCAAATTTTGCAGATTCATTAGTAAATATAAACAACTAAGTATGTTTTAGCCATTTGTGAAATTCTAATACCAATTTTTATTTGTTAATAAAACCAATGAGGGGACCAGGAGGCAGTGTAGTAGTTGACCCACTGGACTTCCACATGATCATCCATGATTATAAGTCCCATGCCCAATGTATTGAAAATCATGCTAAGTGCATGTGCATGTGTGCACAAAATACAGAAAGGAGATTGGAGGAAAAAGAATTGCATCATGAATATTTCCCCAGAAGGGGAGTGATTTCTCACTTTTCTTCTCTCTCTCTGTCTTTTTGGCAAGCACATATGTTTATGGGGGAAAAAAACATAAAAAAGGAAAAGCAATGGTATATTTATAAATCAATAATAATCTTTACATTATATTAACAACTTACAAAGTGAAAATTCTGTATTAATAGCATTGTTTAGATAATGCTATATTTAACAAATACTAGCATCAACATATCTTCATAAGAAAAACAAAAATAAATTTCACATGGACTAATAATAGCTACCTATCTGTGGACTATAATTTTACAGCTAATGTTTTTAATTGGCATATTTTAAAATTTTGTATTCATGTAAAGTTAAGATATACTTCGTATTAAGATTGAGTAACAGTGATAATACAATTATTTCAAGGCTTTAGATAAACAATATGCAATGAGGTATCTCATGGGACAGATTTACATCTAATTGCTCAAATTTTAACCACCAATGCAATCACACTTCAGTGATATTCCCTACTCTCCAGGTCCCTAAGGCTTATGCACACACTTGTGACACAGTGTGGTGCCAGGATTTAGTTCTTAGCTAGGAAATTATCTCTGTAATCTTGAAGTTTTCTTAATAGGTTGACAAGAAAGGTAGCATTAACATTTAATTAAAGCTACCGCAAACTCTTACCATTGTTTCCAGATCTTTTTCTATTAATTAAATAATAAATAGGATTATTCATTAATCTTAGCAGAAGGTCTTCATAAATGAATCACTCAAGTTCTTCTGTATTTAGGTGAGTTGATTTACTTCTTCTTTTATTTTGTACTAGTATAAAAAGATAGTTCTGGTAACTCTCTTCAGGAAACAAATATGTAGTTGGAGGTGGCCCACATTCACTCAATCCAACTGAGAATGGACATGTGGTGTTCTGTGCTTTATACATATGTTGTGTTAACCAAGTTCAACTCACTACATTTTTGTTCTTTCTCTCTCAAGTCTTTCCTTTTATTTTTCTGTTTGAATCTAACTCATATTTACTGAAATATAGTCAAATGCTAGATTTTAAAATAATGTCAAGGTTGAAACTATTTTTCACAACTCTCTTTGTAGACACTTACTAATCCTCTCAAAATTGCCCCATTTTAGTCAGACTAGAACAATTTTTTCTCCTCTCATCCCTCAATCAACTTTCCAATTGTGTTTGCAGGATCTCAGAAAATCAGACTGATGGGGCCACCTTCATTCTCTTGGGCTTCTCAGAATATCCGGACCTCCAGGTGCCCTTGTTCCTAATCTTCCTGACCATCTACACAGTCACAGTGCTGGGAAACTTGGGCATGGTTGTCATCATTAGGATAAATCCCAAACTGCACACGCCCATGTACTTTTTTCTTAGCCACTTGTCCTTTGTTGATTTCTTTTACTCTACAGTAGTGACACCCAAGCTACTAGAAAATTTGATTGTGGAAGACAGAACCATCTCTCTGGCTGGATGTATCACTCAATTCTTCTTTCAGTGCATATCTGTGGTGACAGAAACATTCATGTTGGCAGTGATGGCCTATGACCGATTTGTGGCCATCTGTAACCCTCTGCTCTACATGGTATTCATGTCTCAGAAGCTTTGTTCTTTGTTGGTAGGTGCATCCTACTCTTGGGGGGTGGCCTGTTCTGTGACACTCACTTACTTTCTCCTGAAATCATCTTACAGTGGACATAATATCATAAATAACTTTGTTTGTGAGCATGCTGCCATTGTGGATGTGTCTTGCTCTGACCCCTACATAAACCATATGCTTATTTTAGTCTCTGCCACATTCAATGAAATAAGCAGCCTGGTAATCATTCTTTCTTCCTATATTTTCATATTTATAACAGTCATGAAGATGCCTTCAACTGGAGGACGCCACAAAGCCTTTTCCACATGTGCCTCCCACTTAACTGCCATCACCATTTTCCATACTACCATCATTTTCCTTTACTGTGTTCCTAACTCTAAAAATTCATGGCTTATGGTCAAATTGGGCTCTGTCTTTTATACAGTGATCATCCCCATGCTTAACCCACTGATCTACAGTCTCAGGAACAAAGATGTGAAAGAGACTGTCAGAAAGTTAATCAATATCAAACTATTATGTCACAAACAGTAGAGTCCATGAGATTTGTTTCTTTTATTTTCATAAGTATTGTACATAAATCTCCTTATGTTATAACATTTTTAATAGTGCAAATTCCTTTTAAAAAAACTTAGCAGTGTATGTGTTTAATGTAATCCTCTGTTCACTGGTTATTAAAATCTCCTTAATTTAAAATTTAGCACATTAGTTATAATATAACACAATTCATAACACAGTAAGTAAATGTTTGACCATTTAACTTTATGAACTTAGGGTTTGTCATGTGAAGATTTCTGAGTTTACACACATTGTCACTTGGTTGCTAAAGTAAATCACTTATTCTTTTGTCAGCCATTGGCTTATAACGGTGTTCTGAAAATGTAAAGCTTACCATGAAGAAGGATATATCAAATTTAATATGGTAAGCTAAGAGCTATTCAACTCTCGGATACTAAATTTGAAAGAAATATTTAATACCACATAGCAAGTATTAGTGCTTTGTAAATTAACATAAGTCATTTCTCTGATTCACAAAGTTTATAATATTGTTTTGTTAAATTATGTTTGTAGCATACCTTTTATTCTATTATCAAATGTAAGCTATAAAAATAAATAAATAACACATTTCACTGTGGCTAACTTTGAAATTATCCTTCATGGCTACCTTCATGTGTGTGTAAGTTACATATTGATACACAACACAATAAAAAATAGAGATATATAGCATTGGGCTAATTTTTGTTGTTATTGGTTGATTAGGCAGCCCTGCTTATATTTGCTATAACATCTTAATTAACCTGATCAAGTGTAATCTTAACTAGAGAACTCACTGCCCAGTCTCTAGAGCTATAAATTGTTTGGTAGCTCTGGTCTGTGTGTCTATGGTCCTTTTTGAGTTACTAAAGTGGCTTGTATATTGTCTCCAGTGTCGATGGCTGAGTCACAGGAGACAGCCACAAGGATAAAATTTGTTTGGTACATTATAACAATATCTACATTCCAGTGATTATATAAGCACTATTCACAATAGCCAATATATGGAATTAAACTAACTGTCCATCAACAGGCAAATTGATGAAAAAAATGTGTATATCTATAAATCTAATAGCATACTAATCACCATTAAAAATAATGATTTTCTATATTTAAAACAACATGGATGAGCCTGGAATACATTATAGTAAATAAAACAAACCCAACACAAAATGTAAAGAACGTGTTTTTAACACTTGTGGCAACTTTTTTTAGTTGTCGAAAGAGAAGTTAAGGCAATAATTTTAACTACAGGCTGGAAAAGAGTAGGAGGGGGAAGGGATAAAGAAGTATCAGTTACAGGATACAAAATAAAATTAGTTAGATAAAAGAAAGAAGTTCTAATGCCCTACATTACAGAAGGACAACAATGGGCAATATTAATTTGCTTATATATCAAAATCCCTTAAAGAGAGAGTTTCAAATGTTCCCCCAATACACACACAAAATTGAGGTGATTAATATGCTAATTACTATGATTTGATGATTATACTTTGGATTCATATACTGGAAATTACACTGTAATCCATTAGTATGCACAACTATAGTTGTAAATTTAAATACTACTATTATAAAAGGACACATCCATTGTTGGGTGGCTAAGGCAGTGGGATTCCTCATGGCTGACTATGTAGTTCAAGTCCTAGACCAAGTGATTTGAAATACATGCTGAGCACCTGTGTGTGGTTGTCCAAAATCCCCAAAGTAGATGAGATTGTGGTGGGACTATTCCCCATGGACAGTGCTTTCTCACTTTTTTCTCTCTGTATCTCTTTCCAGTGAGCACACATACTCTCTGGCAAAATTTAAAAAAATAATCCTGTGAAGAATATATTTAGCCAATTCATTGAGATTGCATTAAATTTACCAATTAATTTAGGTAGAATTGGCATTTTCATAATTGCTATATTAATTTTTCTAATCCTACAATGTGAGTATTTTTCCACATTTTTATAACATTTTTCAATTTCTTATTTTTAGTTTTCATTGTTTTTCTTTGATTAGTCTTTCACTTCTTTGGTTAGTTTTATTCCTAGATATCTTATATTTTTCATGGCTATTGTAAATGAGATTTTTTTTTTTCAATTCTACCTCAGTCTGTTCATTGTTGTTGAATATAAAGGCTATTGATTTGGGTATGTTCATTTTGTATTCTGCCACTTTATCATATTCATTTATCACTTTCAGGAGGTTTTTTTGTGGATTCTTTTGTGTTTTCTGTGTATATACTCATGTCATCTACAAGTAGAGATAATTTCACTTTTCCTTTCTCCATTCGAATGCCTTTTATTTTATTCTCTTGTTTGATTGTATTGGCTAGAACTTCCAGTGCTATATTGAAAAGGAGCAGAGAAAGTGGGCAACTTTTTATTTTGTTGATAAATCCCCTTCTATGATAATTTTGCTGAGAATCTTACTAATAAAGAGATATTGTATTTTATTGAATGCTTCTTCTGCATTGATTGATATGATAATATGATTTTTATCCTTCTCTCTGTTAATGTGATACATTACATTTATTGTTCTCTATATGTTGAACCATTCTTGCATCCCTGGAATAAAACCTATCTGGTCATGGTGTACAAAATTTTTAATGTATTTTCGGATACAACATGCTAGTATCATATTGAGGATTTTATTTCTATATTCATCAGGGATATTGATCTGTAGGTTTCTTTTTTGTTTTGTTTTATTTTTTGTTTGTTTGTTTTTTTTGATAGGTCCTTGTCTGTTTAGGTGACCAGGGTGATGATAACTTCATAGAATGAATTTGGGAGGTTTCCTTCCTTTTGGTTCTTAAGAAATAATTTGAATAGAATGAGAGTTAGCTCTTCTTTAAAATTCAGAAATCAGAATTTAAATCATCCAGACCGGGGTTAATCTCATTATTTGTTATTGATCTATTCAGGCTTTCTATGTCTTCCTGATTCATTCTTGTTATATTATATGTGTCCAGAAATTTCTCCATCACATCCAGGTTTATTGTCTGTTGACACACAGTCACTCATAATATTTGTTTATGATGTTTTATATTTCTGTTCTGTCTGTTGTAATATTGCCTATTTCCTTGTGGATTTGATTTATCTTGTTCCTTTCTCTGTTCTTAGTCTAGCTTAATGGTGTGTCACCTTATCTTCTCTGAGAAGCAGATTTTGGTTCTATTTTTTTCCTGTATAGCTGTTTTATTCTCGATTGCATTTATTTATGCTGTGATCTTTATTATTCCTCTTCTTCTTGCATTGTCAGTGTTTTATTGTTTATTTGATTTCCAGTTCCCTAACATATGTTGTTAGCTTATCTATTTATCACCTTTCAATGTTTTTCCTTGTCAGCTCTAATTACTATAAACTCCCCTCTTATTACTATTTTCAACTGTGTCCCAGAGGTTATAAAACTCATTTTCCATTTATCATTGATTTCATTTAATCTTTTTATCACCGTCTTAATTTCTTCAGTGATTGTGAAGTCATTCAGGAGTAGGTTGTTTAGTTTCCACGTGTTTGTGTATTTACTATTTTCCGCACAGTTAATTTTAATTCCATTGTGATCAGAAAAGATGCTGGATATTGTTTCTCTACCTCTGAATTTGTAAAGGCTTATTTTGTGCTCTATTATGTGGTTTATCTTCAAAAACATTTCATGCATGAGAATAATATATATATTGTTATATTTTGGTGGAACGTTCTATACATATCTGTGAAGTTCATTTTATTATTTTATTTTATTTATTTACTTTTTTTTTGGGGGGGGGAGAGGGTTTTGCTATAGGGCGTGTGTGCTCACCAGAAAGACAGAGAGAGACAGAGAGATAGAAAGCGAGAAATCACCACCCCAGTGGGGCTGGTCATGCTGCAATCCCTTCTCCTCCATTCTCCTCTCCGGATCTTGGGCTCACATGCACATGCACCCGACGTGAATTTAAGCCACCAGATCCAGGACTTGAACAGCAGTCGACTACGTGGGAGTTCAGTGACATAGCCATTACACTAACTGCTGGTCCCAATAACATTAGTTTTTACTGTAAGATTTGCATGTTAGTAAGTTCTAATATTGGAAATAAGGTATTATTACCATTACACTTTATTTGGGTAAATATGACTCTCAATATTTCCCCACTTTTTCCTGTTTATTTCATTTTCCTTCTGGCTTCTCTAGATCAATTTTCCTACTGTATTCATAGTTACCAAAAACCTAAGGTTCTCGAGTTACCTTTATTCTCTTGGACTTCTCTGAATATCTGGATCTCAAGTTGCCAGTCTTCCTGGTACTCCTGAACATCTACAAAGCCACTATGCTGGAGCATCTGAGTATGACTGAGCATCAGGGTCAATGAACACTCCACATTATCATGTACTTTCTTCTCAGCTACTTGTCCTTTGTTGCTTTCTGTTACACTACAGTACTTACACCAAAACAGAAAATTTGATTGTTGGAGATAGAACCACCTCCTTCAAAGGATACATTATGTAACTCTCCTCTGCTTGCCTATTTGTGATGACAGAAACTAAAATTTTAAGGAAAAAGATCCTAAAATAAAGCAGTATTTCCTGAAAACTAAAGATTCCAGGGAACCAGCAGTTAGCGTAATGGCTATGTCGCTGGACTCCCACGTAGTCGACCACGGTTCACGTCCCGGACCCGGTGGCTTGAAACTCACTCCCGGCACATGTGTGTGTGTGCCCAAGATCCGGGGAGGAGAATGGAGGAGAAGGGATTGCGGCATGGCCATCCCCCCTGGGGGGTGATTTCTCGCTTTCGGTCTCTCTGTCTCTCTCTGTCTGTCTGATGAGCACACACGTGCTATCACAAAAACCTTTCTCCCCCCCAAAATAAAAGAGATTTGGCTAAGAATTATGGTCACAATCTTGCTTTGTAGTGCTGGAGTGTTATAAATGACTGCTGCACATGAATTGTTGAGTAATTGGTCGTTTGGGAAGTTATTTTTCCTGAAGGTACAAGCCTATGTGAACAGAAAAAAAAATATTGCAGTGTGATAATAG